ACCACCTCCAGAAACCTCCCTTCAACTACGCCAGCTGCGGCAGCAGCTGAACAGGAATCGCAAGCCGACGTGCTTCCGGAGGTGATGAGGCACTCTCTACCGTCCAAGATCTTCGGCCTGCCTTCTGATCCTTCGTCTCTCTCCACATCCTCCAAGTGGGTCCTACGCTCTGAGTCACACGGTGCCTCCACGGTCTCCCCGGTTGCCCTGAACCCTCTCCAGGCATACGTGTCTCTGCCCCAGGTCACTTTCGGCCCCAAAAGGTTACCTTCCCTTTCAATACTGTAAAAATTTCGGGTATTTTATTCGCAATTGCAAGTTTTTAAATTCTGCTTCTGAGTGCGATTTAACTTGTAAATTGCAGGTGGGAGTTGCCCAATGCAGAAAATTTTGTTCGGGCATCGACAGCTAATGAATTGCGGAAAGACAAATACACCCCAATAAATCCGGAGAAGTTGAAGGCTGCAGCAGAAGGGCTTCAACAAAGTAAGGGTTTTTTTTTTTTTTTTTATGTCTATAGTTTATGTTATTCTTTATTGATCAATGCCCTTTTCTTAGCACTATTAGTTTCCTCTTGTATATGATGGGATGACTATTATTCAAGAAAAGTCAATGTCAATGGGAAATGTATAGAAATGATATCGTGTTACTTTCTTTTTTACTTGAAATGATATCGTGTTTTGTTGTTTTGACATGAATGAATTCTATGCGCTGTTTTTTCCTTTTTGGCCATAGGTGTGGTGGGTTTATTTCTATAATATCTGTCCAAGATGAAGTTGTCTTAGCTGTCAGATAGTAATGGAAAATTGCAAGTAGAAAGAAATACTTTCTTTTTAATGAATATGCAATAAGGGCACAAAATAGAATCTTAATGGATATATGTCATCAGAACATTGTAGATGGATGCTTTGTTTGATTAAGTTGGTGAAAGATGCAGCTACTCTTAACAAAACAATAACATCTTACATTTGGCACTGTAAATCATTGCATTGCACAATTGATTTGAAGAGTATAAAATAATGTACTTGGTTTTACAGTTAACAAGTAGCGTTTATGTTTTCTTTTGCAGTTGGAAAAGCATTCATGGTTGCTACAGTGATTGTATTTGGTGGGGCTACCTTGACCTTTGGGATGGCTGCCTCAAAGTTAGAGCTGCACAATGTATGCATAACTTGTTGCACCTAGACTACCAAATTTTAATATTCATGTGGAATAGAAATGAAAATATGAATTTTCTATTATTCCTATGCCCTGCAAACTATATTTTGACCCTAAAATTCTTAAATCTTAATGTCCTGCTCAAGTTAAAAATTCATATCTTTTCCCCTAACTTTATTTCGCAGTCCTTGAATGTAATATCAGTCTTCACCATTGAATAAAAGTGTATAGACTGTTTTGTCAGCATTGATTTTGGATGCCCTTCCTCTCATGGTCTTTGGTGCTTGCCAAAAAAATCGGGTGTCTGACAGAGTTCCTTGTTTGATGTTCTCTAAAGATATGAAACCATAGAAGATTGTAGTTAATTTATATTTCAGTATATAATTTGGATAGATTGTACAATTTCTTGTTCTCATTTTGCAAATTTCCCTTTCCCCATGAAGAAACAAGATTAATAACAAATTAAAGAGGGGAGAAAGAGTTCACTATAGCCTGCAGCTAGTGTGAAGTGTTCTATTTTGGATTTGTAGTTGACATGTACATCAAAGTATGAGGCTCATGAACACAAGCGTTCAAAGCATAGCTCAATAAGGAGAAGTCATTGTGTTTTATCCTGCTTGACATGCTCTGATCTCTTAAGGAGAGAGCATAGTGGTTTTTGAAATTTATAGTATTTTCTTGGATCTTTTCTTCTTTCCTTTACTTATCTCTACACTCTAGATTCAGATGTTTAATATTTTCTTCATGGTTTTTTGGTCTCTGCTTGATTGTCAGATATCTTTAGTTAAGATTGTCAAGGATACACTTGAAAATATTGAAAAGTTAATCTGAAGTTCTTTTTCCTTGTACAATTTTGTGATATTTGTCTGTCCACAGAGTGATGACATCCGATCTAAAGGAAGAGACATTGTTCAGCCTAAAATTGAGATGATTAAAGAGCAACTTTTTCCTTTGAAAAATTGGGTATGTCGGAACAAAAATTCCATCTATAATTGTATTTATTTTTTTTTATTTTTTTACGAGTGACTGTGTGATTGTGAAACACAACTTCTCACTTCAGGCAAAGGAAATGTCAAAGAAATGGCATCTGGAGAGGGAGGAAGATATCAAGGAAAAACCTGTAGTAAAGGAGCTTTCTAAAATTTTGGGGGCAAAATCATCTAATTGATTTCAGTGCTAGTCCAGCCTACATGGAACAAATCAACAGAAAAGAAAAGTTACCCTTCTAGAGTTTCCTCATTTAGTCTAGGCAAATAGTACTCGAGTAATTGTATGTAAATAAATGCATGGTACAATAATTGTAGTATAGTTTTATAAAAATGTTGATTCTTTTGTATTTCATTTTTCAGAGATCCATTCACATTAGTCTGTTTATTACGAATAGATTTGTTTGTGACATAATGTAACTTCTCTTGGTTTCTTATTTCAAATGTGTAATTCCATAGCATGTAATGAATTGTCAATCATAAACAGGCCTTCCAATTAGTGTAGATGGGATTGCAAGTTTCTGAATTGTTGACTTTATACTCGTGGAATCAGGATAGTTGACAAAAGTATACGAAATCCAATCTTCATTACTGCAGTTATAATCTGTCACAGACTCACAGCTTGTAATCTAAACCGGATCCATATTTCCAAGCCTCAAGGTGCCTCTTCCATTCATACTTCATCTTTGATGGAAATGCATTTATCAACGGCCTGGCAAAGGATAGAAGAACTTGAGTTCTATGAAAAGTACACGATAAAGAAAACATCAACGAGAAATTCCATCATATTAGAAAATGTTAATTTCCAGGATAAGGCAAGAACAGACTGTTACCTTATTAAAGGGTCCACCAACGATGAGAGCAATGTATAGTATCCAAGCATGAAAAAATGTCGAGACCAGTCACGAACAACAGGAATACCAACCTAAAGATAACCAAATGCAGTTTGGTGCTGGTGAAAAGGTCATAATCATTTAATGGTAGGGACAAGGAAACCAATATGCCTAACATGGTTTTTCCTTCCAAATTTCTTTTTGGACAGCTACTAACAAGATTCAATTCTAAAGACATAAAATATACTAGCAGTCACAAAATACCTTTTGGAATATTTTGAAACTTGAGCAAAGAATAACACTGTTAGAACTTCTCTTATTTTAATTCTTTTAGAATGAATATGGAAATTGAAGAAACAGAAGGAACTCATTTGAAAAATGAATTCAAGCAACATAAAGAATATGAGAACTCATTCTTCAAAAGTATTAAACAACCTCTCTTCTAATGATCAAATAAGGACAAGAAGAAATAGGGCTAAAGGGCCACACCAAATGTTTAATTACCTGCTTGAATATTAATGGAATTATTCGGGGTGAAGTTATCATTACGAGGCCTAATGTCTTTGCAAGAGGTCCAAATTGTACAACATCCTGTCAAGATATAGGAATCAGAAAAAGCTAGCTTTTCTACTCTATTCTGAAAATTTTCTTTTATGGAAATTGGGTTCTTAACCAACAGAATCAACTGGAAACTAGAGGCTTGTGGAAAAAGAATTAAAAGGGAAACAAAGTTAGGGATTAACCTGAAGAAATGGTCTTAGCACTGGATCCCCCAGCCTCTGGAGAAGAGAAACAGAAGTTCAATAGGCAATGAATGAACTAGGAGACAAGTATAAGGTGATGGGCAAGCTTTTTCTTTTCTATAGTAGATTGGCAAACCTTTGGTTTTGCCCTAGTGATGTATATTTACCTGCATACTCTTAAAATTTGCATAAAGAAGTTCATTAATAAAATCAGGAGCTACATTAGACTGCTGCTTTGCAGACATTGCTCTTTGAAAAAGCCATGAAGTACTCAAGTTAGGCTGCAGGATGCAAATAAAGATTCAGAAAAATTGTAAAGGAAGAAGCTATTTAACCAAATACCTAGAGAATACAGAAGGTGCAGACCATGTAAGGATTCAGCAGCGACAAGTTGTACGAGTCAATAAAGTCTCCACTGACTGCTTCATAAATTCCTA